GACACACACACACACACACACACACACACACACACACACACACACGCACACACACGAAAGCTGGTGTCAAATGTTCAGATGGGCACGGCCGCAAACGCACTGTAGTTGCCGCGGTAGTAGAAGAGCTTCTTCATGTCGAGGTGGATGATGTCTGTGCACACGTTGTCAAGGAAGTCCTGGTCGTGGGACACAATCAGCAGCGTGTTCTTCCACTTGGACAGGTAGTTGTCAAGCCAGATGACAGCATTCAAATCTGGCGGATGGAGTAAGTGGTGGCGGATGGAGTGTGAGATGGTGGGTGAGTGGAGAGTGGAGGTGGGTGAGTGGAGGTGGGTGAGTGAAGGTGGGTGAGTGAGTGTGAGAGTGTGAGAGTGTGAGAGTGAGCGGAGGTGAGTGGAGGTGAGTGAGTGAGTCATCCGTGTCAATGAGGGTACGGCAGCAGGTGAGTGCGCGTGCATCCACGTACACCCCGCACGGTGGCGGCCAAGCAGGCGAGGCAGCAGGTTGCGTACCGAGATGGTTGGTGGGCTCGTCAAGCATCAGCAGCGTCGGTTCAATGAACAGAGCGCGGGCCAGCGACACACGCATCCTCCAGCCACCGGAAAAGTTCTTTGTTTGCCGCGCCTGCATCTCCATGCTGAACCCAAGACCCTGCACCCCCGCAACAGGAGACACAAAGAGAGTCGAAGAGAGGGGGAGAGGGGAGAGAAAAATAAGGAAGATTGTGTTGATGGTGAGTCACGCGAGTGTGTCGACGCGTGGATGGAACACAGCTGCGATGACACAGTCACGTTCACATCAACGAACGACACTGCAGCGTCCGTGCGTCGTCCATCACGTCACGTGGTTCGCATGAGCGTAGCACGTACCGCCAGGATCTTGCGGGCCTTTGCCTCGGCAGCAGCAACACCAGCGGCCTGCATCTCCGTGTACACCTGCGTGCAGTGATGTTGGATGACAATGATGGATGATGGAGGAGGAGTGTGGCCAAGGACGTGGGGGTGAGAAGCAATGCATCACAGATGAAATTGAAGGGATTGCGGTGCATGGTGGCACAAACGCAACGCCGGCACGAGATCGTGCATACAAAAAAGCACTTCAGTGCACACAGATTTCATCCCACTCCACCCAACCCCCTCACAAAACGGTTTCCGCACCTCTTCGAGTTCCTTTGTGGTCTTGTCGTCGCCCTTGCCTCTCTCCAGCAGTTTCGTGAGCTCCTTCTCCTTGGCGAGGAGTTCTGTGCGACGCGTATCCGCAGACAGCACGGCCTCAACAGCAGACAGGTCGTTTGCTTTCACCTGGCGCGTCGAGCGTGGGTATTCGGTGAGACGAGAGCGAAGAGTGAATGGGCATGGAAGCGGGGAGAGGGGAAGGGGAGGGGAATGCGTCCACACCACAGACACAAACACACAGACAGAGGGACAGACACAAACACAAACACAGGCACGGACGGGTACACACACACACAGACACACACACACACACACACACACACAGAAGCACACACAGGTACACACACAGACAGACAGACAGACACACACACAGACACGCAAACACACACACACACACACGCAAACACACACACACACACACACAAACACACAGACACACCTCCTGCTCGCAGAGGAGGGCGTCGATGTTTGGCGGGAAGCGGAGTTTGCGCTCGGCAAGATGCTTCAGCAGCGTCGTCTTGCCGTGACTGCGAGTGGCAGTCCAAGAAGAGAAAGGCGGTGGGTTTGATGTGGCGGAATGGAAGCGAAAGATAGACGTTGTGCGCAGTGGATAGACAGACAGATACACACATACACATACACAGACACAGACAGACACACACAGACAAGGCACAGTCAGACAGACACATGTACACAGATACGCACCCGTTGGGTCCAATGAGACCGTAGCGGCGGCCGTGTGTGATCTTGAGGGACGCGTTGACAAACAGGTCTTTGCCACGTGCGGAGATGGAGAAGGCATCGATGATGATATCAAGTGTTCCCTCGGGAATCTCGTCTGTGGACGCGCGCTGCGTGACGGAGAAGTTGCCGTCGGCTTCGCGGGCTGCCAGCATCGCATCGAACTTGGCCTGCACGTGATCGTGGCATTGTTGTTGTTGTTGTTGTTGTTGTTGTTGTTGTTTAAGTTGTTGTTGTTGTTGTTGTTGTTGTTGTTGTTGTTGTTGTTGTGGGCGATGAGTTGGCGGCACGGAATCAGCGCGCACGCACACACACACACACACACAACACACACACACACAGAAGGATGCATAGCAAGGCAAACACAAACACAAACGCACCTTCGCGGCCTCTTTCTTTCGCTGCTTGCGAGACTTTTTCTCTGTTGGTACGCAGATCATGTACATGACCACCTTGTGAGATCAATGTGCAAGCAAGCAAGCAAGCAAGTGCAAGCAAGCAACAACAACACCACCACCACCACCACCAACAACAACAACAACAACAACAACACCAACATGATCATCATGATCGTTGTACCTTTTGGCTGCTGGTCCTCCTCTTCCTCCTGCTGTTGCTCCTCGTCACTGTTGTAGAAGTAATCCTCCTCCTCATCGCCATTCTCATCGCCACCTTCATTCTCCTCCTCATCCGCGTCTGCTTCCTCCTCGTCCTCGCTGATGGATGGCTGCTTGCCCTTCTTGCCCTTCTTCTTCTTGGTCTTCTTCTGGCTCTTCGTTGCAGGCTTTGGCACGTCCTCCACCTCCTCGTCCACCTCCTCATCATCGCCGATGTCGTTTGCTGCTTCTTCCTCCGCTTGCTCCTCCTTGTCTTCGTCCTCATCGGGGAACAGGTCCTGCTTCTTTCCCTTTTTGCCCTTCTTCTTCTTGTTCTTCTTTGACGCGGGCTGTGGGATGGCTTCCTCGACCTCCTCTTCCGCAGCGGCGGCAGCAAGCGGGTCCACGCCATCCTCCTCCTCGTCGTCGTCCCACAGGTCCTGCTTCTTGCCCTTCTTCTTGTTCTTCTTCTTGTTCTTCTTTGAGGCGGGCTGTGGCACGGCAGGCTGCTCGTCCTCCTGCTCCACGTTGTTGAGAACGTCAACGTCCTCGTCATCGTCGCCCCACAGGTCCTGCTTCTTGCCCTTCTTGCCCTTCTTCTTGTTCTTCTTCTGGCTCTTTGAAGCGGGCTGGGGCACGCTGTTTGTGGCCTCGTCGTCGTCGAGGGCCAGGTTGTTCAGCCCTGCGCGAGCAGAGGCCTCGTCCTCATCGTCGCTGTCGTTGCCGCGCTGCCCGCGGCGGCCCTTCTTTCCGCCCTTCTTACCACCCTTCTTACCGCCCTTGGCATCGGCGCTACCATTGTTGTTGTTGCCGTCGTTGCTTTGGCTCAGCGGGTCCACGACGCCAGCCTTTGCCTCCAGCTCGGCCCAGTCGTCGTCGTCGTCATTGCGACGTCCTTTCTTTCCCTTGCGACCTACATGCGCGAGCGTGCGTGTGTGTGTGTGTGTGTGCATATGCGTGAGCGTGCGTGTGTGCATATGTGTGAGTGTGCGTTCATGCATGTGGGTCGACTGGCGTGCGTGTTCTTGTGTACTTGTATGCGTGTCGTTTCCCTCAATGCACCCCACACGCACTCTTCCCCTCCCTCTCCCTCACACAAGTCAACACCAACCCCCCGGCCGTACCCATTGTCTTGGTTGGTTGGCTGTCCTTCGTACTGATGTGCGCAGACCTTCCGACGTTCTGTTCTCTTCTGTTACCCTCTCACCACCAAACCACGTGTGTTTCTGTGTGGAGCGAATGCGTGCGTCTCAGCGTTCGTAATCGCCTGCTGCACTGCTGTCTGCTGCGCCACACAAAATCTGGTCGTTCTTCCTACAGTTTGTGCTGTCGTGTCCGTAATTGAGCCGTGCGATAATTATTTGAAGATGTAAACAAATTATCGTCTTGGCCAGCGCGAAGAGAATTTTGCGTGGCCGCCAGCCAATCACCAGCAAGCAGCCGCCCACGCCATCAGCGTTTCTGCGACCTGACTCAGGCAGCGCTTTTTGCTGATGCCGTATGCGCCGTTCCTTCCCTTGTTTTGCCCTCTCCCTCTCCCGTTCTCTTCCTCGCTTTGCTTTGTTGTTGGTGTTTGGTGGTGTGGGAAAGCGCGCGGTTGGGGTTTGAACGGTCGGTCATCCCAACGGCCCGGCCCGTTCAGCTGGCAAGACAATCAACGCAGCGGCGCAGCTAACAACGTGGTTGCACTCTGTGCCCGTGTTGAAGAAGGACAACACCGGCAGGAAGCACTCCAAGGAAGGACACCAAGGAAGGACGCTTGGCTGACGCGGAACAAGAACGACAGCAGCCAACAGAGGTGGGAACAGTGTGTGTGTATCGTGTGTGAGAAGGAGAGAGAGAGAGTGTGTGTGTGTCTTCATGACGTAAGTGCGCGGTGCATGGTGTGTGCCTTGTGAGTTGGTTTCCACCAGCACGCTCATCCATGCACTACCACCACCAGCACGCTCATCCATGCACCACCACCGCGCTCATCCATGCACCACCATTACACTGTCACCATACAACGCCCCCCCCACCCACCTCTCTCGCACTCTCTTCCAGCAAAACGTCGTGCATACGCAAGCTTTGCAAGTATGAGCGACGGCCAGAAGCAGCAAGCACCAGCACAACAGCAGTACTCGCAATTCAACGCACAGCCCGCCGGACTTCCTTCACAACAACAGCAGCATCAGCAGCAACAAGCCATGGACTTGCCTCGGTCCGACACCTTCAGCGGACTCCCCTCATACGTCATCACCACATCGTCCAACGGTGGTGCCGGCGAGAACGTGCGTGCTGATGCCACCACACACCACCAACACCACCAGCACCACCAGCAGCACGAACAGCAACAGCAGCAGCAGCAGCAGCAGCAGCAGCAGCAGCAGCCCATGATCGTGAGCATGCCCTCGGGTGTTGTTGACCCGTCTGGAATGCAACAGCAGCACCAGTTCTCGCAGGGCCAAAGCGACCACCAGCGCTACCAGCAAAGCCACATGCCGCACGGGCACCCCCAGCAGCTTCACGCGGGTCTGCCCTCTGCTTTGCCTCACCACAGCCAGTACATGATCGTCCCGCAAAATGTGTCATATGCCGCAGCGCAGGAACACGGTGGTGGTGAGCACAAGCTGTCTACCTCATCGGCCGACCCGTCCCTTATGCCCATGCTTAGCGTGCCGGCACCACACAGCCACGCTCAGCAGCAGCACCAGCAGCAGTTACAGGAGCACCATCATCAGCAACACCACCAGCAGCACCAGCACCATCAACAGCAACAGCAGCACCACCAACAACAACATGACTCGCAAATGCCAGTGTCCATGGCTCCCATGATGCAGATGCAGATGAACCCACTTGCACAATCCCAGCAGCCGCAGCAGATGATGATGATGCCGGGCGCCGCCCAGCACGTGGCGCCGCACCACATGCAGGCAATACACCTCCCGCCACAGCAGGAGCAACAGGCCATGCAGGTGCTGCACCACGATCAGGACAAACAGCAACACCAGCAGCACCAGCAGCACCAGCAGCAGCACTCTCTGCATCAGCTTCCACACGCGCACCATCAGCACCCGCTGCTCGCCAACCAGCAACAGGAACAACAACAACAACAACAACAACAACAACAACAACAGCAACAGCAGCAGCAGCAGCAACAGCAGCAGCAGGATGTGAAGGAAAGTGCACACATTGCGCAAGGTGTAGACGAGCAACATCACGACGCCCACGCTCACCACCAGCAACAGCAGCAACAGCAACAGCAGCGGGAAGGAGAGACCCCAGCAGCTGCCAGCGCACAGTCCACAAATCAGCAGCAAGACCAACACGCAAAACAGCAGACGTCTGTGGAAAGACAGCAAAGCGGAGATGCGCATGAGCAACAACAATCAGCACAACCGCACCACCACCACCAACAACAACAACAGCAGCAACAACAGCAACAACAACATGCACCTCAAGAGGCCCAACACATACAACAGCAACAGCAGCAACAGCAGCAGTTGTCGCGGCACCACCATCAGCAGCAACGACACAACTTGGATGAACTGCTCCCCTCCGGGAGTGCGAGTGGCGGGGCGTCCCACCACCACGTCGCCCAACGCCACGCCGATGCATCCCACAGCTACATGATGACATGTGCGCTGTCGGCCAAGGTGTTGGACCTGCTGTTGCGCATCAGCACGTTCAAGGGCCACGGCGCTTTTGTGATTGGCTTCGCGCCGAGCAAGGTGCCTCGCCACCCGCGCTTCCCATTCGCAAAGGTGCTCGATGTGATCCAGGCGCCGCACTTGGACAGCGCCAAGCTGGCGAACCGCTACTACTTCCAGTCGTCACTGCATAGGGACGGCAACCTTGTGCAGTACGAGTCTAAGGGCGTCACGCCACTGGTTGAGCTGCGTCGCATCATGCTCAAGGGCAACGGGGAGGAGGACCCTTCGTTGCCCGATACGCTCGCAGACCTGCTTATGCTGTCACCAACAGGGCACCCGCTGGTGCGAGACAACGGCTCTGAGATCACGTGCGAGGACGTGTTTTCCCACATCATGGACACGCCCGTGCGTGCCGACGACGACTTGTGGTGGCAGGACGTGACGGCGGCCCTGGGCATCACGCTGCCGCTCAAGCGAGACGAAATCGTGGCCGTGGCCAAGAACATGATGGCATCGGACTTGCCCTCCCACGCCGCAAACATCAACGTGGAGCGGCTCATTGACTATGACGCTGCAACGGCGCAGTCGATGCAGGCCAGCGGGCAGCAGGTTCAAACAGGCGCGAAGGCCACAGGGGGCATGGGAACACATGCTCAGGGCCCAATACCACCGCCCTCGTCATCGGCAACCAACACGAGCCTGGCGCTGCTGGCTGACACAGCACTGCAAGGTCCCGTAGAAGCCACCACCACCACCACCACCACCAGCACCACCACCAACAACAACGATAGCAGCAGCAGCAACAGCGAGATTCCCGCGACGAGTGGTGGCGGTGGTGGCAGCGGCAGGGGTGAATTCCTGCCAGCAGGCGCGCAGGAGTGCACTGTGAGCCGCTACCAAAACAAGTCGCTTCGCGTTCCCCCCAGGCGTGGCCAGACCATGCACGTGTGCGCCGCAGTGGCCGTTGCCCTGTACCACGACAAGCACGGCGACGACGTTGCAGACGCGGCCACGGCACCAGCTGTTGGGAAGAAGGTGAAAGTGGCTTTCCCGCACGCAGACAAGGCCCCGAGCCCCTTCCGTGCGCCCGATGGTGCCCAGCCGCTCGACACAACCGGCACCGCGTTCAAGCCCTTTGCAACAGGTCTGGACAATGACCTCTTCTCCGCGTGTGCACGGCTGTTCAGCCTGCCGACGTTTGGTGGCCCGCCCAGCCGCACCACGAGCCGCGGGCTTGAGCGCATCTTCAGCTCGCTGCAGTCTCGTGCAGGCCAGGAGGCAGCACCACCCGGCACTGCCGCCAACACGAACACCAGCAGCAGTGGCGGTGGCGATGCGGGCATGGCAGGCAACTGGCTGTTCCGGCTGCAGAGTGATTTTTCCTCGCTCATTGCCAACACAGGCAACACGACCACAGCGGCGAGTGGGGCCACTGGATTTGGCATGCCTGCAGGCACCGTGCCGGGGGTGTCGTCGACGGCAGCAGCAGCAGCAGCAGCAGCAGGGGCGATGCCCATGGCGCCGTCCACGCCGTTCACCGCCGGCCCACGTGGCAGAACTTCGGGCGACATGGCCGCTCCTGTTGCCGGCAGCGTGATGGCAACACCGCAGCAGCCTCGCCTGGGCACGCTACCCGACACGCCGGCAACCCCTGCCCTGGCGACCGTAACGCCTGGTCCTGGCGTCCCTGCTGTGCCGCCTGCCTCGTCACAGCGCTCGTCGCTGAGCGGCCTGCTGCCAGCCACATCGCACACGCCCGGCACCTCGCTGCCAGACACGCCAGTCGCACCCATGTCGACGTCGTATGCGCGCTCGGTGCACCCGATGAAGTCACGTGTGGACTCGCACTGGCCAGAGGAGTGGCTGAACATGAAGGTGGTCGACTTCAACCGCTTTGCAAAGTCCAAGCGCCTCACGCCAGACGAAATTGAAGACCTCAAGCGAGCAAGGTGCGTGTACTCTGCGTGTGTGTGCGTGTGTGTGTGTGTGTGTGTGTGTGTGTGTGTGTGTGTGTGTGTGTGTGTGTGTGTGCGTGTGTGTGTACTCTGTGTGTGTGTGTGTGTGTGTGTGTGTGTACTCTGTGTGCCTTTTTTTGTTTGTGTTTTTCGTGTTGAAGGTCCCAGCTTGTGCGAAAACCAACACACGTCCCAGTCCCCAAGCCAATTTGCCGTGCACCATTTATGGCCCTTTTGATTGACGCAGCTGCCTTCCTTGTCTTGCTTGTTTCCGGGTGTGCGCTCAGGCGTCGCAAGAAGAACCGCCTGTATGCCAAGCGCAGCCGTCAACGCAAAACACAAAAGTCAGTTGCTGCACTACACTCGCCTGTCTGCTTACTTGTTTGTCTGCTCACTTGTTTGTTTGTTTGCTTGCTTGCTTGCTTGCCAGCTCAACTTTCCGCAAGGGCTTCCTACCTTGTGTGTGCTGTTCGTCATTTCCATGCTCATCATTGAAACGGTCACAACTGTGATGATGACTACCGCGGTTCTGCCACACTTCCTCACCCCCACCCAACTCACTCACCTACTTGTTGCACTTTCGCCTCCTTGCTCGTTGTGTGTGTGTGTGTGTGTATGTGTGTGTGTGTGTGTGCATGTCTCGTTTTGATCTCTGCCGCTGCTGTCTCTGCCGCTGCTGCTGTCAGGTTGGAGGATACACTGACCAAGTACGAAGAGCTGCAACGCACGCTCAGCCCAGGTGCAAATACTGGCACAGTGCACCATCACAGCACAGACGCGCCTGGCGGTGGTGGCGGTGGTGGCGGTGACGGTATCACAACAGCGACACCATCTTCGTCCATCGCCACATCGGTTGAAACGGGCACGGCAGGGAACAACCACAACTCCGGCAACGCGGCCAATGCGAACGCCAGCGCAAATGATGGCGCCGCGTCTGCTACCGACGATGCCGCTGCCACCACCACTGTTACATCGGACGCTGATGTGAGCATGACACCACGGAGCCACCATGATGACGTTGGCAGTGGCGCTCCGCCCGCAAAGCTTGCCAAGACAACCGAATAGAGAGAGTGTGTATGTGTGTGTGTGTGCGTAAGAGTGAGAGAGAGAGAGAGTGAGTGTGTGTGTGTGTGTGTGCGTGCGTAAGAGTGAGTGTGAGTGTGTATGTGTGTGTATGTGTGCGTATGTGTGTGTATGTGTGCGTGTGCATTCTGCGTATGCTTGCGTACGTACCTCTTTTCCTTGCGTTGGTTGCACGGTCACCCCCACAACCACCTTGCTTGTGTACCACCGCCTTGTGTTCTTCCTTGTGTTTGCCCCCTCTGCCCTCAAATCCTTGTGCCAACCCCCCCCCCCCTCCTCATTTGGTGCACACGTTCCCATGCATGACTGAACAAGAGCAAAAGAGTCCTCAATCGGTGCGAATATGTCTATGACGATGGCTGTTGAGCCGAGGAAGAGGGCACGACGCAACAAACACGTACCGCAAGTTCACTCGAGCTGTGAGTTGGGGCACGTTCATGTGTACAATACAGGAGACACGTGAAACAGCAGCAAGGCAAGAAAGGTGAAGAAACCTCGCATGCAAGGAAGTGGTGTGATGCGAAATGTAACGGCAACACGCACGGACGGCGAGCAAGCAAGACGTGCAGATGCATCAGCATCACTGGGAAGATGGGGGCTGTTGCGGCGGGAGGGCTGGCTGTGTGGATGGTGCTTGCGCCGATGATGATGATGATGATGGTGGTGCTTGTGATGAGGAGGATGATGAGCCTTGGAGGTACTGCTGGGACTGTGTTGCCAGGTAGTTGAGGCCACCAAGCAAGGCAGATCCCACCCGGTCCGTGACCCTGTACTCTTGGTTCAGTTCGCCAACCTTCTTCACGCTCGCAGATGCAATGGTGCCCACCTTCTGCTCAAGCGAAAAAGCGCGGGTCAGAGAGTGAGTGAGTGCGCAGAAGGTAGAGGACTGCGTAATGTCAACGATTGGGAACAAAGGCAGAAACAGCCCATCGAGAGCACACACACACACACACACACACACACACACACACACACACAGAGTGTACACATGCGGACACACGCAACACACATACACCCAGACACACACACACACACACACACACACACTCTCTCTCTCTCTCACACCAAGATCCCCCCCCACACACACACACGCACACACACACGCAACACCTCACCTTGGTGATTTGATGCTTCTCGTTGAGTTGGACGGCAGAGCCATATGCTGAGGAGACGCCTGCCTTGACATTGTCCACCACCTTGTACTTTTCATTGGCAGCAACGGCGGCGCTGTAGGTTGACTTGACGCCAGATGCAATGGTGTGCGTGATCTGGTGTCGTTCGTTCAGCTCCTTGGCTGTTTGATAGCCCTGCACAAGGTACTTGCCACCGTCTCGATTTGCCGCCTTCAGTTGCAAGAGCGTTTGAGAAGAACAGGCATGGAAGGTGGGGGCGGGCGGGGAGTGAGCGGCTGGATGGATACAATGCATGTGGTTGTGTTGACGGACACGCACACACAGACACACAGACACGCAGATACACAAACGCACAGACACACAGACACACAGACGCGCGCGCACACACACACACACACACACACACACAAAGACAGACACACACAAAGACAGACACACAGACAGACACACAGACACACACAGGCACAGACACGCAGACACACTCAATTACACACCTTGACGGCTTCGACGCCAACGTCGACAACGGATGGGTCTTGTGCTGGGGTGGCGAGGGCGGTTGACGCTGGGCCACCATTGCTCGTTGGCGGCGCAGGAAGCACGGGGAGAGCGCCAGACATTTCCTTGTGGAGGGAGTCGACGCGGGCTGCGTAGGATGCACGGCACTGCTTCACGGAATCACGGGACTGCGAAAAGGATGGGTCTGCGAGTGCTTGGTCCAGGTTCTGAATAGCGTGAGAATACAAGCCAATCGCTTCCTTGTAATTGCCTGCAGCGTGAAGGCGTGCGTGCGTGTGTGAGTGTGTGTGTGTGTGTGTGTGTGTGTGTGTGTGTGTGTGTGAGGCGAAGAGAATGGACAGGCGCCCGTGGTTGGACTCGCATATGCATACACCACCCACTCTCGAGCCCTCAAGCCGAAGCAACGCATGACTCATGGCTTGCTTGCTTGCTCGTTGAGCAACAGCGTGCAATGCAGCGCATGGATATCTTGCGCGCAAACTCACCCAAGTTGTCCATCTCCACGGCTGCATGTGCAAACCGGGAGGCTTGTTCGAGCCGAGGGTGCATCTTTTGCGTCGTGGCCATGTCTGCTATCGATGTGCTGGGGGTGTATGGAGACAGTGAGGTGTTCGTGTGTGTTGATGTGATGAGAATTGCTTGTCTTGTCTTGCGTTGTCGTCGTCTGCTACTCTCATTGATGAGTCATCAAGCGTCGTTGGCTGCGTTTATTGGTTTCCAAGAAAGAAGCACCACTCGTCGTATCTCATCGTATCATGCCGCCGCAACCATGCCAAACTACAACACACACACACACACACACGCAGAACACACACACACACACACACACGCAGAACACACACACACACACACACACAGAACACAAACACACACACACACACACGCAGAACACAAACACAGGTGCATCTATCTCATCTCAGCACATGGACTCCTCGTGGTTTCCCGTGGAGGAAGGGGCTGCCATCCACTCGTGCGTGCTGGTAAGGTGCGACGCCGCCTGCGACGGTGCCGTGGCCTGTGAGCTGGCAGTTCGCGAAAACGACCCTTGCGATCCGGAGCTCGACACCTCCATCAGCGGGGAAAGCGGCTGGTTGCGCAGATCCCGCACATACGAGGACGAGCGCTGGCTGCCGGGCCCGGACGACGCCGAATATGACGACGACGCAAACGAAGCTGTGGAATCACCGCGCTGCCCATCGTGCCCCTGTTGCTGCTGTTGCTGTTGCTGTTGCTGCTGCTGTTGCTGCGCTTGCTCCTGCTGCTGCATCGAGTCGCCGTTTGGCCGCACGTGGTCCTGGTGCCCGTGGTCAACCACAACAACATGCTGCTGCTGCTGCTGCTGCTGGGCGGACCCCTTCTTCTTGCTCTTCTTGTTCTTCGAGTGCTTCTGCTTGCCCTTGCGGTTCACAATTGGCGGGTGCACCTCCACAGATGCGTCCGCTGCCGTGGACGCCGTTGGTGCAGGGCCGCTGTGCACATCCGCTGCCGTGCCCGCGGTGGCTGGGCTGGGCGGCGATGGTGTCACCGGTGCAGTAGTCAGGTCCTCGTACGAGCCCTCAACAGAGGCAGACGACCGCTTGCTGGCTGCCGAGGTGCGCCCGTGCTGCCCGTCGTGGTGGTGGTGGTGCAAGGGGTGCAGCAGCGTCTGGAAGTGGCGCCACAGGCCCCGACGAGGCGCAGCATGGCGCAGCTGCACATCTGGCACAACAATCGACGTGTGCTTGTGCATCTGCTTCTTGTGGCTGCGCATGCGCCGTGTTCCGAGCGGTGCCTTCTCGTGCACTTGCGTGCTTGTGCGCTCAAACGCGTGGCGCGACAGCCGCACCGTGATCTTGTCGCCCAGGTCCGCGCACACCTTCACCACTTCGTCGAGCGTGGCGTGCTCCAGGTCGTGCCACGTCGTTGCGTTGGTGTTCTTCACCTTGAGCAGCCGCTGACCCGGCTTCACCTTGCCAGAGAGGCGGTCCGACGTCACCTCGTCAACAACAAGGCGGCTCACGCGCGTGTTGGGGTCGTACACGTCCGCAAACAGCAAGCCGTAGTTGTCCCCTTCCTTCTGAATGTGCACGTCGTGGTGCGAGAGGTCGTCCTTCAGCGGCCACATGTGCCGATACATCACGTCCGTCACAATGCGCGTTGGCTTCTTCGACACGTGGCTGGAGCGGCGCCGCCTGGGTTTCTCCGCGCCCTCACCGCCTGCCGCCGCCTGCATGTCAGCCTCGGTCGGCATGGGCAGCCCTGCGCGCGGGAGCATTGCGCGCACGGGCACAAACGTGGGCTTGGCGCGCGGCACGCTGGCGAAGATGCACGGGCGGTGCTTGAACCAGTTGACGTACATGCGCAGGTGGCCATACGACACGGGCCGCTGCGTGGTTGCGCGCAGCACCACCATGTTGAGCACGTCGCTCTCGGCCGCCATCACCTCCAGCGACTCCAGCGTCAGGTCCTTGCCGTGCTGATCGTTCACCGCAACAATGCGGTCGCCGCAAAACAGCAAATTCAGCGCAGAGGACCCGGCCTCCACGCCAGAGACATACAGCTCGTGATGGGCCGTCTCAATCACGTCAAAGCCAAGGCACTCTGCGTTGACGTTGCGGCGCACCTCCACCTCCTTCACAGCGAGCAGCGGGCCCTTGGTGGTACGCGCAGCCATGTCGCTCTTCGACCTGTGCTTCGTGTGCAGCTTGGGCATTGGGCCTGCGCCCGTGGTGTCGATGCCGGTGGCCTGCTGCATCTCCATCATGTTCATGGCGCCGCCCTCACCAGCAACGGGCCGTCGCACCACCAGCTTGATCTGCAGCACGCCCAGGATGATGCGCTCTGCCTCCGCAGCCGTCAGGAACCGCGTGTCCTCGCCGCCAACCAACAGCACCTCGTCCAAGGGCTGCAGCAGCCGGTGCGCCAGCGAGCCGGCCACCGTGTGCTTGACATAGATCTTCGAGCCCAGCGACGTGAGCGAGAAGCCAAAGTCCTCGCGGAAGTCCTTGCGCTCCAGCACCACCGTGAACACGTCTCGGCCGGTCGCGGGCATGGGCGGGTACGAGTCGCGGCGGGCGGTGCGGCCATCGCCACTTTCGCCCTCTGTTCCGCTCTCGCTCGAGCGGCGCATGCTGCCGCCACTGCTGCTGCTGGTGCGGCGGCGGCGGCGGCGACGGTGGCTGCCCTTCTTCTTCCTGCCACCGGCACCGCTGGTCGATGAACGGCGTGGCCGCGGTGCTCCGCCACCACTGCCATCCAACAACACGCCATCCTCATCGTCCTCGTCCTCCTCATCATCCTCGTCCTCCTCCTCGTCCTCGTCATCATCCTCGTCATCATACTCCTCATCCTCGTCTTCTTCGTCCTCTTCCTCTTCATCTTCATCTTCCTCCATGAGGTCACTGAGGCTGCTGCGGGGCGATGCGCGCGGGGTGGATGGTCGCGCCACCCGCCGCCTGTGGTGCCGCTTGCGCCACTTCTTCCGCTCCTGCGCACGCCGGTGCTGCCAGCTGGCCACCGTGTCTGCGCGGCCACGTGCCTGGCGCCTGGCCAGAGCCACCACCACGTCGGCGTGGCTCGTGATGAACTGCTTGACGTCCTCGTGTGACCACCCCTTCACGGGCACCTTGTTCACCTCCACAATGCAGTCGCCCTCCTTCAGGCCAAAGTGCTCTGCGATCCCGCCCTCGTTCACCTTGGTGATGATGTGGCGGCCCTTGTGCGTCGTGCCAAAGGTCAGCCCAAACGGCACGTTGGACGTGCGCTGCAAGTTCACGCGGATCATCTGCACGTGCGACTGCTTGCGGCGCTTGTGCGTGAAGAACGCAGCGTGTGCACCGGCAACGTGCTTCAGCAGCTCGTACTGCTCCATGCAGATGTTGGAGTTGGACGTGGCCGTGAGCCAGTGCAGCGGGTTGTCGTCGTCCGCGCCCGGTTCCGGCAGATTAATGTCCTTCATCTCACCCGTCTCGTCGTGGTAGTTGAAGGCCACTGTCTCAATCCACGCGTTGTCCGTGTTGCGCGGGTCGTGCAGGAGGCCACGGTACACCTCCAAGATGGCGGCGCGGCTAAGCCGTTCCTTGATCATCTCTTCCAGCGCTGCCGAGGACAGGCTCGTGCCGCCAGCACCACCGGCACCGCCCTCCGTCGTCGACGCCGCTGCCGCTGCTGCTGACGCTGTTCCAGCCTGTGTGGCTGTGACGGTCGCGGGTGTGGCTGTTGGCCCGCCTTTGTTCGTGGCGTTGGCGGCGTGCAGCTGCAGGTCCTGGGTGGACACGATGTTGGCCAGCTTGGACGCGCGCACCGTCTCTGTGCCGACCTTACCGCGGAAGGCAAGCTCAAGCGCACGCTGCATAGCCGTCTGCAGCTCCTCGCCAGGGCGGATGAACACGGAGGGGAGGTAGCTGGTGCCTGTGACGCTGTTCTTCAGCGCAAGCACTTCCAGCACGGGGTGTTTGTCCTGCGTCACCACCTGCCCCTTGGAGTTGCGCTTCCAACGGGAGATGATCATGTGCACGGCGTGGTTTGGACCCCACAGCGCAAACATGCCGCGGCCAGCAACGCCCGTGCGCCCGTACGGGTAGAGGGGGAGGCCGCGCGGATTGAGGTCGTACAAACCCTCGTAGCTGCGGCGGTCCACCTCGTCGTCGTTGGAGTTGAAGTGGGGCAGGTCGCGGCTTCGCACACGGCCCTCGGCAATGGCCTGCAGCTCACGGATGTTGGGATCTGCGCGTGGGTGCTTGAGCACATTCGGCGCCGTGTAGAACGGTGGACGGTACACGGACACGGGGTGGCCCCAGTCTGTGTCGCTTGGCGTCGCACGGCGCACATCCTCCGTGCCAGGGTACATGCCCTCGCACACCCGGCAGGACAGCGTGGGCAGGCCAACGTCATCCGCTGGCGACTCCTGCTCTTGCTCCTGCAGCTCCTCTTCTTGCTGTTGCTGTTGCTGTTGCTGCTGTTGTTGCTGCTGCTGCTGCTGCTGGTCCACTGCAGCATCACCGTACGAGAAGGGTGGAGACGAAGTCGCGGTGGTTGCTTCCGTCGTGGTTGCTTCCGTCGTGGTGGCGGTCGTTGTCTCTGTTGGTGCGCCGCGTTGCGTCCACTGCCCTGTGGGCGACGTGGCTTCCGCTGCCTGCACCGGGCGAGCTGGTGCTGCTCCGGCATCGTCCACGCTTCTTCGCTGCTGCTGCTGCTGCTGCTGCTGCCGCTGTTGTTGTGACGCGACCATCGCGCCCGTGCTGGCTGCGCCCTGGGAGGAAGAGGCGCTGTACGAGCCATCGAGCATGGGCGTTGCGCCGTCAATCGGCGCCGGGTGCTGGCGAGCGAGCGCGCCCACCTCGGGCTGCTTCACCACCGTGAGCACAAACGACGGTGGCTGCCGCTGTAGGAGGCGGCGCACAAGCCCCGCGTTGGCCGTGTGCACGTCAAACTGCCCAATGCGAAGGATGTGGTCGTACTTCTGCAGGCCAGCGCGCTTGGCGGCGCTGTTGTTGTACACGCGCAAGATAAACGTGCCCTCCTGCGCAGCCGGGTTGGTCTGGATCTCGTTTGGGTCGCAGCTGCCCAGCACAACGCCAATGTCTGCCTCCACATCTGTTGCCTGCGGGTTTGGGCGTGTCAGTGTGCATTCGCGCGTGGGATACGCCGCAACGTGGGGCTTGAGCTTCATGTCGCTGCGCTTGTACAGGTCATATGCCTTCGGCTCATGGCGAACGACGAGCGTGACGCGGTCCATCGCCTTGGCCAGCGCCTCCTGCGCATGTGAGACCTTCACTTCCTCCATGGGCCGGCCGTTGATGGACAGAATGCGGTCGCCCTCGCGCAGGTCGCCGTTGGCGTCGGCGATGGAGTTCGGTAGGATCCTGCCGATGAAGACGGGGGCGCGGCGGTCCGTTTCGCCCAGCAGGCGCAGGCCAAGGTCCAGGGTGTTTCGCGGCTTGCGAAGGTTCACGCGGCGTGTTTCACCGGTGGAGCGCACCTCAAGCTCCCGCTCTTGCTGCGCAACGGCAGCGGCCAACCGGTCTGACCCTGCGCACGCGAGCGATGGGCGTGTGTGTGTGTGTGTGTGTGTGTGTGTGTGTGTGTGTGTGTGTGTGTGTGTGTGTGTGTGTGTGTGTGTGTGTGTGAGTGAGTGAGTGAGTGAGTGCCTCAGTGTCAGAAGAAGAAGAAGGCAAGTGCTCGAGGGAACGAAAAAAGGAGGAGCAGGAACAGCAAAGGCAAGGACTACGACAGAAGCGAGGAAGAAGAGGAGCGACTGCGTGCGCGTACCTTGCACGACGTCGGGCACCGGGGAGGTGTCATCAATGGGCTCGTCGATCTCGCTGCTGTTGCTGCCTGTACCCGCTGTGAACTTGGCGTGGTGGCCGTGTGACGTGCGCACGTCTCCGGACACGGCGTCCTCCACGTCAAACGCAGAGGCAGACACGTGTGGGACTGGCATGGAACGGTCACTCATGGGCGTGAGAGGTTCACCAGAGTCCTCTGCGGGCAGTCGAGGGCTGATGCGAGGCAGGTTGGGGAACTTGTTGAAGTCGGTTTCAAGCGCCAGCACGGGCTTGCTCTGCGTGTCTGCAATGTTGCCTGCAGTCACACGCTTCTCACGCTCATCCATGTGCACATGCAAACCTACAGCGCATGTGTGTGTTGGGGGAGGTGAGGAGTGGCACATGGGGTGCGTCGAGGTGGGTACGCAACATGCAATATGAAGCGCGGTTGTGCAGGCACTCAACCAGACGCACATGCGAACATGTGGTACGGGAGCATGCACACAGCGAACTAAAATCCCACCCACCTTTGGGGTTGTAAGCGACTGTGATGACGGCCTGTTGCACAGCGTGCAGCTGGGCAAGCACCTCAACCACGCTCGCCTTTTCCACGCTGCGGCCATTGAGCGTGAGAATCTGGTCACCAACATGAAGATGGCTCACCTACAAGACGAGAGACGCGGCGGCACATCACAGTGCGTGAGAAGGAAACGACGCTTCTCGTGTGGGGATGGGTGAAGTAAAAAGGAAAAGGAAAGGGAAAAGGAAAACTCCACCGGATTCTCTGACAGACGCGTATACACACACATACACACAGACAGGCACACAAAAGCACACACAGACAGACACAGACACACACACACGCAGACACACAGACACAGACGCAAGATGACATACGCGATCAGCCATGCTCTGTGGCACGATGCGGGAGATGAAGACGCCTGTTGGGCGGTACATGTCGACGTAACCGCTGGGGCCGACAATGTCGATGCCAAAGCTGTTGTTCTGGCGCACAAGCTCCGTCTGCTCGTGGTTGGAACAACATGAGGGGAAGGGGAGGGGTGCGTGTGATGGAGAGTCAATGGAGGCCAGGCAATTCGCGCATGACAAACTGCGCGATAACAAAGCACAGTCGAACGAACAAACAAGCGAACAAGCCAAACAGGGTGATGGTGCAAACACGCGAACGTTATCATCAAAGCAATCACAACACGCGCAAGTAAAACGTGCAAGCGCCACGCGCGCACCTCTCGAACAGACTGCGCAGCGAGGACGGGCGTGTCCTCCTGGCGCGGGGACCAGACAGGGCGATCTGTGGACTGCTGGCTGGCGGCAGCAGGGGGCGAAGTCGCCTGCTGGGACGACTGGAAGCGCGGTGGCAGCCACGACTCCGTTCGCCGCAGGATGTCAGACTTCATCACCGTCCGCGTCTGCACAAATATGTGTATGACGTGTTTGTGGCAGGGATTTGTGAGCAGGAGCGAAACTGCTTGGGGGTTACGCAGCGTGACGCACACAGGCTTACTGGCAAACAGACTGACAGACACACAAACACACAGAAGCGTAAACGTCCCCAACACCCACCCACCCACCCACCCACCCACCCACACACGTGCGCGCGCACACACACCAGCTTGTATCGTGCGCCAATTTCCTCCTCGTCGGCGTCGATGCGCTGCAGACGGCGGAGCGCATCGACGTGCATGGCGACCTCAAGCTCAACGTGGTCACGCGCCTTGGATAGGGCTCCAGACACCTGCCGCACACTCCACGAGTGCGCGTCCACGCCGTTGATGCGGAAGATCTGGTCGCCGACGCGTGGCAGCTCGCTGCCGGGCCCAAGCACCTCCACCGCAGACACAAACACGCCGCTGTGCTCAGCGGGGACAACGCCTACGGAAAGGGTCGCAGCGATTGTGGAAGACACGCAACGTGTGCCCATGCGTGAGTTAATGTGTGTGTGCGTGTGTGTGTGTGTTAAGTGTGTGAAGTGTGTGTGTGTGTGAAGTGTTTGTGTGGCGGTGAGAAGCACTGCTCGCACACGATGATGCACAACACGCGGCAGCCACGACAACGACGACAACACAGCAACAGCCAGGACAAAGTCAGTACGGCTGCAGCATGACATGACACGCACGCACCGAGACGCTTCCCGTGACCGGTGAGGCCAATGAGGGAGATGGGGAACTGGCCGTCGACGCGGGCGAGCGTGAGTGTGCGGCGCGCGCCGAGATGCGACTTGGGGGACGTGCTGCACAGGTCATGTGCGTGCGTGTGTGTTTGTATGTGTTTGCGTATGTGTGTTTGTATGTTTGTGTGTTAATGAGCGAGTGGGAAACAACGGATGGAAGTTCAAGAACAAAAGAAAGAAGTGTAGGGATCATACAAGGCATGGTGATAGCAGCAGACATGGGCGGGACACGCGATGGTGATGGTGACTCACGGGCGCTCTGGGATCTCCTGCTCCCGCGTCAACTTCACGCCAATGCGGTATCTGGTCAGGGCACAAGCACAACACAACATGAGGGGCAAGGCGAGACAGCAGGGAACGCATTCGATTGCACACAAATAAAACCACGCACAGGGTACAACAAGCGTGAAACACACAAGCAAATGCGCGCGCGCGCACACACACACACACACACACACAAAGGGTGCAGCTGTGCGTACTTTGATCGGCCAACGATAAGCGTGACCTCTTGATCACAGGCCTGCAGCTGGCGAATCACTTCGGGGAGTGTACAGTTGGACACATCCACACCATTCACGTTCAGTAGGCGGTCAAATTGCCTGTGCATGCAAGCACAAACATGTAGAGAGACGCCATAGATGTGAGGGAGCAAAGGGGGTGGAATGTGTCATGCAATGCCCCTGTGTGTGTGTGTGTGTGTGTGTGTGTGTGCGTGTGTGCGGCCCATGCAGCGCACCTCAGTCGCCCATCCCTGTGGGCAAGGCGGTTGGGGATGATGGCACTGATGCGAACACCAGCACGCTTGCCCTGGCAATTCAAAACAAGACGTTTGTGTGCCATGCACAAGTGATCATCAGTGACAAGGGAGAGTGAGGAGAAGGAATGCACACGGAAATAGTGTGTATGCACGGCCTCAAACGCAAGGTACTAGCAGCGAAACACCCACGCACACAGACACACAGACACACACACACTACACCCACGCACGCACCTTCTCCGCAGCCTCTGAGATGTTTGACATGGACGAATGCGTGCTGGAGCGAGAGGAGACGAGGAACCCAAGACCTTCCGTTCCGCACTTGCGCTCCAGCTGTGCAACAACACACGTAGGCGTGAGAGCAACAAACATGGGTGAATCAGAATGCGCACCAAGGTAGATTTGGAGTGGGAGCGAGCGAGTATGGGTATGGGTCACCGCAGCGTGCATGAAGTGCTTGTGGTTGCGCGCATACCTGATCCTGGTTGACGGTTGCCCAAGATTCTGTGTCGACCAGCTGGCTCTGACTTCCGCGCGTCTGAGTGGCAGTGCCGTGATGTGCAGTGCATTGGTGAGCAATGTATCCGACGTGAAGGTGAGCTTGTGATCAAAGCATGTTCACACACACACACACACACACACACACACACACACACACACACACACACACACACACACACACACACACACACACACACACACACACACACACCGCTGCAGTCGCCCCGTGAAGGACGGGTCTGCGTCCTCCGTCTGGAACTTGAGCGGACGAAGAAACTCCTTTGGCGGCTGTGGCGTTGGGAAACACAAGGGCGAGCGTGGTCCGCGAGAACGGTGTGGTGACGATCATAATTGCAACAAAGTCACAAACACAGTGGCACGAATAAACCAACGAAAACACACACACACACACACGCACGCACACGGCACACTCACACACACACGCACGCACACGGCACACTCACACACACACGCCCACACGCACGCACGAGAGCAAACACATACGCAGAGGTCGGAGAAGCGAACATGAACGCACCGTCTCCATGGTGTCCATCATGTCTTCGATCCTGCGCGCATTCCGGCACACGGAGCGCCACTGATCTTTTTCAAGGCGCATCACGCACACGTCCACAATGTGCGACACCTGTGGCAAGCGGTGGAGGTGTTGGCGAAGAGGAGAAGCAACACAAATCCACACATGAATGGGTGTAGGAGAAAGCAGGAGGAGCGAGGAAGGCCGAACAATCAAGAGTCACAGTTCACACACAAACACAAACACACACACACACACACACACACACAAACACAAACACACAACTCACGGATTGGAGGATGGCCATTGTATCTGCGTATGTGGCGCCGACGAGGCCGATGTTGTCGATGGAGAGAAGGCGGTCACCGGGCTGCAGTCCAGCAACAGCCGCGCGCGTGTGCGGCATTACCACAGACACAAACGATGCACCATACGGCCTGGTTTGGGTCGTCAGTAGTTGTCGCCGTGGTGGTGATGGTGGTGTTCGTGAGACAGGGCCATCAAGATGCAAGCATGCACACTCACATGCCTACAAGCAAAAAACAAACAAACAAACAAACAAACAAACAAACAAACAAACAAACAAACAAACAAACAAACAAACAAACAAACAAACAAACAAACAAACAAACAAACAAACAAACAAACAAACAAACAAACAAACAAACACGCAAAGGTGCCCTAACAAACAAACAACCAACCAAACACACACACACACACAAACAACCAACCAAACACACACACAAACAAACAAACAACCAGCCAAACAACCAACCAGCCAAACAAACAAACAAACAAACAAACAAACAAACAAACAAACAAACAAACAAACAAACAAACAAACAAACAAACAAACAAACAAACAAACAAACAAACAAAGCAAGCTTACGTTTCGCAGCCGCCGATGACCTGGAAGCCGAGAATGCCGCCTGGTTCGTGCTCGTACGGGACAATGATCACCTCGCCGCTCGTCGGTATCAGGTCGAACAGCTGCCCGCCTTTGTTCTGGCGCGCTCCCTGCACGTGTGTGAGTGGATGTGCGTGAGAGAGATAGTGTGTGTATGTGTGTGTGAATGTGTGTACAGGTGTAAAATCAAAGGAAAGCGAGGCAGAGAGAGAGAGAGAGAGACATGTTGGAGCATTTTTCGAGGGAAGACGCAGGGCTGGCATGGCGGTTGCATGCATGCAAGCACGTACCGCGACTTGTGATTGCTTCTGTCTTGTTTCCATGCGCCTGTATGCCTTTGTCGTCAAAAAGTCATGCAGTTGCGCCCTGCAAACCCACACATGCATGAGGGAAGAGACCATTGTTGAGCAGTGGAAGAACGGGGCAACATGGGGTGCATGCAAGCAATGCAGGGACATGGAGTGCATGCACACAATGCCATGCAAAAAGGCGAGCAATGGAGCAAACAGCAGCAAATGTGAAGGCGCACACACCTGTTGGCGTCGATAATCCCATAAGCAGAGCTGACCTGTAGCATGCAAAGGCATGCGAACAGGGTGTTAGAATGCAGGCAAGCATGTGTATACGAGGACCAACAAGGTGCAGACACTGGAGCACGTGCTACCCACACAAACATAATCACAAATGAATGCACACGCACACACAAACACACAGGAGTACACACATAAACACACACACACACGAGTCCACACGAGTACACGCAACAGAACTGACCCTGTGCAGGGAGTTGGAGCTGTGCAGCTGCTGTGAGAGCGGCATTGACTCTGGCACGGGCGACGTCGTCTCACTGCGCGAGCGCATGCGGTGGACGTGTCCACGCTGCTGCTGCAACGACGACGACGACGATGATGGCAGCTGGTGTGACGAGCGCCGGTTTGGTGCGTTGGACAGGCGGGCGGACAGCTCTCGCATGTCGACACCGCCGCGTGGCCGCAGGTGCTGAGGGAGACTCGACACACGCGTGAGACCACGTTGCTGTTGCTGCTGTTGCTGCTGCTGGTGACGTGGCTGCCACTGTTGCCACGGTTGCCACTGCTGCCTGCGAGCATCATCACCAAGTGTATCGGCAGCGGGCGGGGCCGGGGTGGCTGTTGCAGTGGTGGCGGCCGTGAATGACGGCGATGTAACGCTGGCGGTTGTCGCTGCTGTCTCTGCGAGCCCATCCTGCGGCCACTGCGCCTGGCGTTGCTCGTACTCTGTCTCGGGGAAGCTTCCAGAGCGCATGTGGCCCTGCTGCAGCGCTGCCGTCACAGGCACGTGTTCGGCGCCCTCCATCGCTTGCTTGGCCGCAGACGATTCCCTGTCGACCACAAACCCTTCATACTGTGGCTGCTGGTGCTGGTGCTCGTATTGCTGGTGGTATTGTTGTGGCTGCTGCTGCTGTTGGTAGTATTGTTGTTGTTGTTGTTGTTGTTGTTGTTGTTGTTGTTGTTGTTGTTGTTGTTGTTGTTGTTGTTGTTGATAGTGTGTGTTGTGGTGCGTGTCGGCGCTGGCTGGGGTGATGGCGGTGGGCTTGAACACGGGCGGCAGCTGCTCACCTGCGGGCAGGCGGCGCGCCTGGGCCATGGTCGCATCGGACACTGCACTCGACCCGTGCACCTCCTGCAGCGGGGCCGCGTGCGTGCGAGCTGCGGATGATGGCGGCGATGGCAGGCGATGGTGGTGGTGGTGCCCGTTGGGATGGGGGTGACGAGAGTGGGGTGGCGCTGTCTCTGTTGGTGGCGGGGCCGGCAGGCGGCGGCGGGCCGATCGCGGTGACAGCGGCTGCTGGTGCTGCACGGGCTGCTGGTGCTGCACGGGCTGCTGGTGCTGTAGTTGTGCGGTAGGGAGCACTGCCCCAAGGTCGTGCGCGGGCGCCCCAAAGTCCACCGTGCGCAACGCTGCACTCGTTGGTGGCGGCGAGGACCCATGCTGATCCATGCGCTCGATGTCGTGGCGCGTGGCGGTGGCGGTGTCGCCGCTGGCATCTGTCACGGTGAGCTCAAGCTTGGTGGTATGTGACATGAGGTTGTCCAGTAGCTCGGCGGTGAAGGCGGCAGTTGGCAGGCCGTTGATGGCAACGACGCGGTCGCCCACACGCAGGCCCGGGTTGGACGACACCGTGACGATGATGCCGTCATCTGTGTGGGTGAGCTGACACGGCCACGCGCCATCAGGTGCGCAGTTGATGCTGACACTTCTTGTCATGGTCGCACACTGCTGCGTCTCTCACAACAATCGATGCCTTGCTTGGAAGGGCGCAGAAGATGTGGGGGCGGACGGGAAACGAAAGTTTGCGTTGTTTGGGCTCGTTCTATGCGGTTGCTTGTGTGAGCTTGTGTGAGCTTGCTTGCTTGCGCACTCACTCGCTCGTATTCATTCCAAGGTAAAGGGGGGATTCCAAACTAGCTTGCTGTTGGCCTGGGGCGTGCACTCTGTCAGTCTGTCGTCGCATGTGATGCTGGACGGGAAGCGGGAGCGGCGCGGTCGTGGCTCATGTGAAAGGGAAGCTGCGAAGACGCCGTTTGCCAGACGTAAACGAACAGCGCTCAGAGACAAAGAGCGACTCGCTTGAACCTGTACGTGCGTGCGTGCGTGCGTGTGCGTGTGCGCGCGTGTGTGTAAGCAGCAATCTGAAGGGAGAACAGCTGAGGAGAAGCAAGAAGAAGCAAAGCAACCACAAGAACGAGTCAGCGAAGGAGACGGAAGGCGTGCCGGGCGGGGGGGGGGGGACAGCCCACGAGGGGGCAAAGGGAGAGGAGCAGTTGCAACAGAGGAAGGAAACACGAAATCAAACGTGTAGAGGCGAGAGCAACAATCAATCAATCACATCACATCACCAACACACGCACAGGTGATGAATGTGATTGGCTGTGGCAGCACGGTGGAGTCGCTGATCGCAACCAGCACAAGAAGCACGCGAAAGAGGAGATGGAGATGTTCTTGAAGAAGAAGAAGAAGAAGGAGCACAAGAAGAAGGAGCACAAGAAGCAATGGAGAGAGGCTGAGACAGATGGAGATGGAGCCAACAGAAGCAAAGCAAAGAAGAGGAAAGCGATCGAGCCCAACGCAGCTCCCAACAACCGCAGGCAGCAACCGCAGCAGTTTGATTCATCAACCCATCCACGCACGAACCACCAACCAAATCCATGCATCCGCACCTGTCTGTGTCGCCTTGCTTGCTTGCTGGCTTGTCTCGTTGCTTCTGCTGCTTCTGGCTTGCGTGGAGCACACGCTGATCGCTTCCCAACAAGCACACGCACAAGGCGACAGAACGCAACAACGACTGTCAAAACTGAATTCAGTCTCGTGTCCGGAAGAGGCCGAAGGAAGGCAAAGGAGAAAGGAAGGCAAAGGAGAAGGAAGGCAAAGAGGAAGCACAGAAAGAGCTGAGCACTTGCACTGTGTCACACACCATGCGAGCGGCAGAGCTGTTGCGACGAGCGATCCAGCACGCCCAAGAGCCATCCTGTCGCCATGACTTGTGAGTGAGTGCGTCGGAGTGGTGGAAAAAGGGAAGTGGGGAAGGTGGAGTGGGATTGTGGAATTGTGAATGAATACACGTGTGGACGTGTGTGTAATTGTGCGTGTGTGTGTGTGTGCGTGTGTGCGTGTGTGCGTGTGTGCGTGTGTGCGTGTTGCTTGTGCCACATTCACTCACACACGCAAAAATACCCCCTCTCAGCCACTCTCACTCACTTGCATACGCACATACACACACACACACAACGCAGCTTGGAGACGCTCTTGGAATGGACACAGGAGCTCATGCACCAACGAGGACAAGCAGATGTCGTCCTGTCACAAGTCTCCGCCCACTTGTTCACAAGCTTCAAGGTACACGCGCGACCACCTCAATAACAACGCATTTTACAACCTCAATAAACGTACACAACGCGCTCTCCAACACGCTATGCCACACATTTTCTAACTCACCATCTCTTGTAACTCTTGCTGGGGTTTAGGGTACTGAGCATGAAGTGAAACTGGCTGCTGGAGTGCTGGATCAGCTGGCACGGCTACAAGACAAGGATGTGAGACAGAAGTGCAGGGAAACCGTACCGCGGAAGGTGTGGGAACACATCTTGCATGCAACAACGCTGTGCTTGCAGAACTTGCACGCCCTGGCGTGTCTGCCGCTGCCGCTGCTCCACCCGCACCTGGACGCCCCCGTGGAGTCAGCAATCGTCACAGCCATTGGCATGCCTTACGCAGCAAAGCCCCTCGGTATTGTCTTCAGCACGCTCGCTCAAGATCACGGCGACCCTGCCGTTCAAGTCCTCGAGCCGCGCATTCTAAAGCTTCTGGATGGCTCCGTCACTGTTTCCCATCACTGGGCCTGCCGATTTCTTGAATCACTTCTCCGTCACAGCCTTGATAACATCCACAGCCCCGTCATCACCGAGCGTGTGTGCAGGGGTGCTGTAATCTTTGCTGCCACGGCTGCACCACTTCCCTGGCTCATTACTGCTCTCCCACTGCTGCAGTCGCTCTTCACTCGCACCGCACACACTCCTTTCGAAGCCAGTCCGCAGGGTGGCGCACAGTGCGCTGCAAGCATGCTCCAAGTTCTGATTGAGCTGCTCCATGACACGCACGCCACACTTGCAGCAAAAGTTGACCCAGAAACAACAGCAATTCACGCCACCCAAGTGCAAATCATCGCTCTTCTCATGCTCCTCCAGCACGCCATCTCCCTCACGTGAGTGCTGTGTGTGTGTGTGTGTGTGTGTGTGTGTGTGTGCGCGCGTGCGTGTGTGTGTGTGTGTGTGTGTGTGTGTGTGTGTGTGTGTGTGTGTGTGTGTGTGTGTGTGTGTGCGCGTGCGTGCGTGTGTGTGTGTGTGTGTGTGTGTGTGTGTGTGTGTGTGTGTGCTCACTCACATTGCAAGCATTTGTGCATGCGCTGTTGCCCCCCCCCTTCCACCAAAGCTCACCTACCCCGCGTGTTGTGTTTCATGTCTGTGCACACCAGCGGTGATGCCACTGCACCCACATGCTCGTTGACAGCGTGGCTGGTGGCTGCAAAGTGCATGGCGCACCACCTTGCTGTTCCACTGCATACGACGACATTGCACCAGCGTGGACATAAACGCAATCACGGTGCCACCAACACGCATCCAACACCAACCAACGGTCATGAAGACATGACGCAACAGCAGCAGGAACAGGGATGGGAACAAGACACCTCCACTTCTTCACTGTCGATGCTCTTTCCTGACTTGGAAGCAGCGTTCACCGCATGCCCTCAAATGACTTTGGAGCATCTGGAGCAGTGTGTGGTGCGTCTGAGTCATCCAATCGACAACGTTTGCTGCCGCCCATATGCTCAGGTACACGGGTGTTCAATAGCCCTCCCCACTCACGCATCTGCATTGGTATGTGTGTGTGTGTGTGTGTGTGTGTGTGTGTGTGTGTGTGTGTGTGTGTGTGTGTGTGTGTGTGTGTGTGTGTGTGTGTGTGTGTGTTTGTTTGCGTGATTGACAGGAGCTTTTGATTCGGAACCGCCCACCACCCTCCGCAAGGACTATCGATTCAGCTGTGATTTGCAACGTGAGTGAGCGTGGTCTCAGCATGTGTGTGTGTGTGCGTGTGCGTACTGTGTGACGCGTATACGCATGGTTGTGTGACACGTAAGCAACGTTCCCTTCGCCCGTTGTCACACGTCCTCCGTGCATGTACTGTGCCATTCATTTCCAAAAACAGGATCTGTGGCACGCATTGATCAAGTTGGGTGGCCGCCAGCATAGCCAGCAGTCGATGCCTGCAAGCACGCCGTTTCTGAAAGCCACAATCACTGCCGATTGCATCACAGACGGCCACGCTGCGCTCCTCCGACAGTTGAAGCTGCATCACCCATTCACGTTAGTGCTTGCACCCCTCTGCTGTCACGAAACCAACTTCACCACAAACTGTCATGTACATGCGCACACGAACACACACACACACACACACACACAAACACAAACACACACACACAAACACACACACACGAGCATTCAGCCGCTGCCGTGCACTGTAGAAGCCACCCAACAGCTCACAGATCACACACCCACACACTCACACACTCACATATATGGTGGCACAGGATTGCGCAGTGGCATCGCCTGCTGGCAGACACACTGCCTCGGTTTGACCTCTTCCCACAATGCATTTGGGTACGTAGATGATTTGGAGCTGTGTGACAGGATGTGGCTGTCGTGTTGCGAGGCCTTTCTTCTCGGCAGCTTTCTTCCATCATTGAACACAACACAACACACACACACACACACACACACACACACACACACACACACACACACACACACACACACGCACACGTATAAACTCAATTCGCTTCCACACGCCATCTGACGTGTTTCAGGAGCCGCTAGTGCGGCACTTGGCCGTCCACGTTGCACGATCGAATCCGCGTGATGGTGATGACAATGGCACTGACGATCACCACCACCACCAGTGTTACCAGCATCCCCGCGGGCACCTCACTCATCCTGAAGACAGCCGAAATGCCGCGAGTGCGTGGCTGCTGGTGTCCCGGATGCTCACCGCAGCAACCAATGTGCTGACAGCCAATGCACCACCCGTGCAACCAACCACCAGCTTAGCAACATCTACCTTGATGGGCAACAGCAGCAACTTAGTCGCAGCAGCACCCACCCAAGCATTGCACACTACCATGGCAACTGCGACATCAGCAAACGCAGCACTACCGCTGTCGTTCCTGCAGCACCTCGAACTCGCCGTCTCGCTTTTGCCTGCAGGCATCGATCAAGCCGCTGGAGACGAGCAACTGTTTTCCAGGTACACGAGAGAGCACTGACATCGTGTGTCGTGTGAGCGAGAACTGCTGGTATCAAGCATGCATTGCTCTGTCTGTCTGTGTCTGTCTGTCTGTCTGTGTCTGTGTCTGTGTCTGTCTCTCTCTCTCTCTCTGTCTCTCTCTCTCTCTGTCTCTCTTCCATTCCAGTCCAGCAGTGCAACCCAACACTGCTGTTGTGAATGTGAATTGCCCAACGTGTTCACTCCTTTTGCTGACAAGTGTCGTGCACGCTCAATGACGTGTCGTTGTCGCTCATTGCAGTGTTGTTGACGCCGCTGTCGCTGCCGTGGAGTTTGCGTGCGCACACGTGCATGAAGACAAACATGGTGTCGACATCACCACACGTGCGCCTGCGAAAGCACCAGTACTGAACCTCTCATCGTTTGTCGGTGTGTCGTTGCTGCTACAATAGTTTGGGGGGAGAGAGAGAGAGAGAGAGAGAGAGAGAGAGAGAGAGAGAGAGAGAGAGTGTGTGTGTGTGTGTGTGTGTGTGTGTGTGTGTGTGTGTGTGTGTGTGTGTGTGTGTGAGGAGCGGATTACGGTCTTTTGGATTTGCTGGAATTTCACGCATTCAACTATGCATGTGTGCGCATGTGTTGTTGGTTTTGATTGAATGCATGCGAACAATGCTTGATCGCCCAGGCGAGGGTGTTTCTCCACGCGTCTCCTCGCTGCGCATGCTGGCAATGCTGCTTCGGCACGGGCATACCATCCGTGGCCCCACGGAAGTGACAATCGCACTCAACACTGCATTCTCGGACGCACATCAACATGTGGAGCCTTTCACGGCTCTGGCTGCCTCCTCACGCACAGCGACTGCTGCCGCCAAGACAACAGCGACCACAACCACGCCAACCACAACTGCCACAAGCACAAACATAACTGCAACGCCAACCACAACCTCAACTGCAACAACCAGCGCAGTCAGGAGCACGGCCACAGGCAATGCGTGTACCACTTCGGCTGGGCTGCAACTGCTGTTGGAGTCGCTGCTGCCCGCATGTGCGCATCACATCTGTGCAGCGCTGCAGAGGGACGACTATGAGCTCCAGTTTCACGCCATCAACACACTGCTCCTGCTGGCACCAGCAGCATGCAAGGCTTTCCGCCTGCCTGTTTCATCACACACGTCTTCGCCGCCGCACCCCACGGCCACCACAGCGCTGAGTGACACAGAGATGCAAAACGTCCTCCCATTACCTCAAGTGCACGCCTTGCGCAATGTTTTTGCTGGGGACGACCCGTCCTGTGGACCATTGTGGCGCTTCATCATCGCTGGCATGGCGTCAGTGTCCCATCGCGTCTCCGCACTGTGTGCGTACGTGTGCTACTGTTGGCTGCTGGCTCTCGCAGACGACGCAATGGATGGATCTTCACCCGACAAATCGGCATCAAGGGAAGCAGCAGCACGAGCAGCAACAACGGCTGCAACAGCACAAGAGCCAGCGCTCACAACAGCAGCAACAGCAACAGCAACAGCAACAGCAACAGCAACAGCAACAGCAACAACAACAGCCAGGACAGCAGACAGCAGTGCGCCAACGGCACAGCACGGGGCATCGCCTGCACCGAAGAGAAGCAAGGCACTGACTGCAGCTGCAGCGAAACAAAGGAATGATCGTGACCCGGTCACAACGAGTGCCATGAACGATGTGCCGGTGCCAGAGTGGATCGACACCACCACTGTCTCTCGCTCGAGCTCATCGTGGCTGGCGGTGTGGCGACACCTCCGTGCCATAACACATGTGCAGCGGGACATTGTGGACGCATTCGCCACCCTTCATGCTCGCCAGCGTGACAGCCTCTTCCATTCCGGACACGAACCATTGCAACAACAACAACAACAACAACAACAACAACAACAACAACAACAACAACAACAACAACAACAACAACAACAACAACAACAACAACAACAACAACAACAACAACAACAACAACACCACCACCACCACCAGCGAGATGGACAAGCTAAGTCAGCTGCATGTGACGAATGTCAAAACCCGCGACAAATGCAGGCAGTGCAGTCTGTTCTGCAAGCGTGCTTGTTTCCTCGAAGCGACCTTGAGGTGTGTGTGCATGAGGAATTGGTTGCTGTTGAGCAAGGGCGGGTATTGCACGAAGCTGTGCCGGATTGTGCATGAAGGAAATGACACCAAGAGGTGAGACACCAGTGAGAGCATGTTTTCGCGTGCCATTACGAAGGAGCGTTGTTTATATAAGAGCGTGTTTCACGTCAACACAGTTGCATTAATAAAGATAAATAGGTTGCCCCCCCCCAAAAAAAAAAGGAGCTCTGGAACCAGACAAACGGCTTGGGTGTAGAACCAAACACAGCGCATGCGCACGCAATTGTGCAAGTCTCGATCTCTACAGCAGCACACACATCTTCGACTTTGGCGCAGCAAGCGACCGCTGCTGCTGCTGCTGCTGCTGCTGCTGCTGCTGCTGCTGCTGCTGCTGTTGTTGTTGTTGTTGTTGTTGTTGTTGTTGTTGTTGTTGCCACTGCTGAAACCGCTTCATCAGCAGCGCCGCCGGTGCCAGACGAATACCGGCTGCATGCAGGGACTCGCATGACACCTGACCAGACTCTACGAGGATGGCGAGCAGGTCAAAGCTGACCACACCAAGGTGCAGGAATGTGGCGTGGACGTGTGAATACAGCTTGCTTGATTCAAGCCACGCCTTGAACTCTGGGTCAAACTGTGGTTGTTGTTGTTGTTGTTGTTGTTGTTGTTGTTGTTGTTGTTGTTGTTGTTGTTGTTGTTGTTGTTGTTGTTGTTGTTGTTGTTGTTGTTGTTGTTGTTGCAGTGGTGCCTGCGCGGAACATGGACAGAGGAGAATGACAGGATACAAAGGAGCTATGGCGTGAGTGATGGGGTATGAACATGCACACACGCAGGCACACACAGGCACACACAGGCACACACAGGCACACACAGGCACGCACGTGCGTCCTCACCCTCTGCACGCCGGTATCCCGTGCAGACGCCACGACCGTGCGAATGGTGTCTGCGTGCACGCGCAGCTGCTGTGCACGATCACCACCAGCAGCGCCAAACTCAACCACGGCGTCGATATCAAACAGCGCCAGCACAGCCGCTCGTACCGTGGCGTGCTGCTGTGGTGGCGGCACGTGCAGCACTTGCGTGAAGTACTGGTCAAGGGCTGTGGCTGTCGCTTTGCTGACAACATCTGGCAAGGTCATCGCCAGCTCGCGAATGCCATGCAGCGAGTCACCTGCAGTCTCGTTGGCAGCGGTACGGTCACCGGCTGTGCTGTGGCTGTTGTGCCACGCGCGACCCACAAACATGGGCACAACACGACGCAGACGAATCGTGCCAGCGAGCTGATGTGCCCGGGACTGCAGTGCCAGCATCGTCATCCACTCCAGCAGCACGTTGTCGCAGTAATCGTCTTCGTTCAGTGTCTGCATGCGCGCAAGAGCACCCGCAGAGACAATGGGGCAGGCCACCAGGCTCAGCCCAATCGCCGTCATGAACGACAGCTTAAAGTTGAGGCCCGTCTCCAGGTTGTTGGCATCCAGGAACGCGACCAGGTTGCGCTGCTCCAACAAGGGATGCAGCGCCATCACCAGCCCGCTGTTGGCGCGTTGCCTGTGGTGAACGTATTGTGGTGATGGAGGTTGACGTGAGGAGGGGAAGTTGTGGTGGTAGGTTGCAGCGACACACACACACATACACATACACATACACATACACACGCAATACACATACACATACACATACACGCGCAATACACACACACACAACTCACCTGTAGCTGATGAAGACGTCGTACTTGTCCTGCAGACCGAGAACGGGCAAGAGAGAGCCGTACTTGGCGACCAGATCATCGAGCGACAGCAGCTGTTCGTCCACCCACATGTCCTGCTTGCTCTTGTGGTGGTGCAGCACATCCTCAAAGAACAGCAGCGTCTTGTCGTCAAATGGCACCAACAGGCTGCTCTTCAGCTCGGGGTAGCGCCGGTGAACGGCTTGGCGCACTGTGCTATGCAGCATGTGCAGCATGGCGCGCGGCTGCGCGCTCGTGATCTTCATTTTGATGCCGCCAACAGCCGGCACAAGCTGCAGCTCAAGCTTAGTCGACTCCATGAAGCAAACAGCGTGGGTGCGGCTCAGCTTGGGCGCCTGAGATGCGCCGTGCTGCGCATGCGCCATCACGTGGGCCAGCACCACCGTGAACAGTCCTTCGGGCAGGAAGGTCGCGTGCTTGATTCCAGCAACTTGCACGCTCGCAGCCTTCTTGAACTGCTTCAGGCTGAAAGCCACGTAGGCCGTCTTCTCCTCGTGTCCAGCGTATGGGTTGGCCTGCTGTGCTGCTGTTGTGCTCAGCGACACGGATGCCATGGTGCTGGTATTGTGACAAATCGTCATCGGCAGGATGGCAGGGACCAGGTACTGCTGTTCTTGCTCTGTTGTGTCGGTTTTGACACTGGCGTTGTCTACTGCTGCACCGTGGCCGGCATGGCCGCTACTCGCTGTAGTGTCGCCACCCACCAGCTTGGGTGGAGAATACTCAATGCACAGCCCGTACTGCATCATGAGGCGCAGGAACGGCATCACCAAGTTGCTGTGCACGTCGTTCCACAGCACGTCCAGCAGGCGGCGGTGCAGAATGCCACAGTCAACGAGGTCGTCCCACAGCTGCGCACCAACGGCCCTCGCCTCGCTATCCCGCACGTCGTGATGCAGGTCGAAGTTGCGGATGACGCGCGTCATCGTGTCCACCGCCCACTGCGGGCTCAGGATCACATAATCTTCCATGCCTGGCACGTGGTCGTAGTACAGGACCATGGAATACAGGTGCAGGAACTGGAGGCAGGCCCGTGTCTCGTCACGCGTGCGCAGCCCACACGTGCACGCAATGTCCACCACCTCGTCAAACGTCAGCAGCGGCCGTTTGTCGTCCTTGCTCAGTGCCATCAGTTTGTCGTAGAGATGGAGGTAGGGGACAGCCACTTCCTGGTTCACGTACTCCTGCGCCAGTGCTGTGGAGGAGATCGTCTGGCGCAGGTCCTGGATCATGGGATCACGGATGGACTTGGTGTTGTCGACGGGCCAGAACCACAGACCATGCTTGTCGTTGTGGACGACGCCAGGGAAAGCGGGGTTGTGCCGCAGGCGGCTGTAGATGTCACGGGAGATGGCCTCATGCTGTTTCCGCTGGCTGACCACATCAGCAAAGGTGCCAACGATGAGGACGGGTGCGCCCTTGGCGTGGAGGTGAAGGGAGGAGAGCCAGTGCTCCATAAACTCCCACGTCTCATCTCGCTTGCTCTCGTCTTGGTGCAGCAGGTCCTCCATGGAAAACACCAGCAGGTACACCGCGTACCTGTTGGGTGGGGGAGCAAAAGGGTGGGGATGTGGTGAGGGTGTCAGGTGAGGGAAGGTGTGGCGGTGGACAGGAGGCAGCACACACACACACACACACACACACACACACACACACACACACACACACACACACACACACGCACACATACACGCACACAACTTGGACTCACTCTGTGAGGAAGAAAGGGTGGAAGATGTAGAAGGTGGACTGGCCGCCCAGGTCAAATACTTTGAACGTGACCCGCGCGTTTTCTTCACCGATGGTCGCGTCCAAATTGAGGTCTTTGATCGCCTTCTCCAACTCTTCGTCCACCACAGCTTGCGCAACAGCACCCGTTGTTCCTTCCGCTTGCTCACCACCACCATCGCTATTGTGTTTGTCAGACAACGGGCGAGTTGAGTCACCTTGCTTCACGTGCGCACTCGCGGTGGATGCACCAACTGCCGCGTCGTTATCTGCATGCAACAAACCCAGACCACCACACACTTCACTGCCATCATCGCCACCCTCATCTGTGCCTTCATGCCCTGCATCAGCTCTGCCATCTTCATCGCGCGCTTCCCTCTTCAGCCGTTGCTTGTGCGCGTGCAGCCGCTGTGCGAGCGCCGTGTCTCTCAGACTCCGCGCCGCCTCTGAGATGTTCGCCGTCACCGCCTGATAGGGAGAGACAGAGACAGAGACAGAGAGAGAGAGAGAGAGAGAGAGAGAGTGTGTGTGTGTGTGTGTGTGTGTGTGTGTGTGTCTGTGTGTGTGTGTGTGTGTGTCTGTGTGTGCAGTGAAGGTCGCGGCGCCACCGTTTCAACACCCCCTTCTCAAACAGACTTCTTGACAACACCTGAAACAAAGCAGGTAGGAGTGAACAGCAGCGCACCTTCCACTGGCAAATCTCCATCGCGTCGAGGGTGACAGCCATGTCCTGGCTCGCGGCACCAAGGGTGGAGTGCTGGCTCTTGTTGAAGTCTTGCTCCATCAGCGATTGCAGCGTCGTCGTCTTGCCTGCTCGGCCCTCGCCCACAAGCATGAGCTTGGCCCGTGCCGCCATCTGCATGTCTCCTCTCTCCGCGATGGTACGCATCATCGCCTTCACTTCACTGAAGTAGCGAAGCGTTGCCTGCAAGCAGCACGTGCAGCGAGTGCAACATGGACATGTCAGCCAGACAGTGAACACAAGCATTCGTCCCGGCAGATGTGTTCACGTTCACAATGGAGAGGGTGTGTGTGTGCGTGTGTGTGTGTGTGTGTGTGTGCGTGTGTGTGTGTGTGTTGCAAACAGACAGACAGACACACTGAAAGACAAAGAGACAGACACACTGAAAGACAAAGAAACAGACTCACAGACAACGTGCCCCCCCCCACACACACACACACATACACGCACACCCAGGAGTACAGGGCATCATACTCACGTCCTGCTCCTGTTCGTCTTCGTCGTCATCGGCATCAGCAATCCCGGGCTCGGCGTTGTTGAAGCGCCGCTGAAATGCTTCCTGCTCGCGGTCAGACCTGGCACATGGTATTGTGGCGACGGTGGTGGTGGTGGTGGTGGTGGTGGTGAATGAGTGGCATCAGACACACGCACACACATGTACGACATACATACATGGCTTCAGATACGCACCCCACACTCACCAGCTGAGTTGGATGTTGCGGTCTGGCGGGAGATGCGCAGCAAACGCCTGCGCCACTTTGCGTCCATTCACTCGAAGCCTGTGCAAAGGGGAGGGGGGTTGCATGTGTGTGTGTGTGTGTGTGTGTGTGTGTGTGTGTGTGTGTGTGTGTGTGTGTGTGTGTGTGCAGGGGCAGAACGCAGCAGCGAGGCACAAGCATGGTCTGAAGAGTTGCGTACCGAAGAGTCTCCAGCGTTGAGTTTTCCTTCAACGCCTTTGCCAGTTCCGCGCCGCTTTTGGCGTTGAGTTTGCACTTGGACAGGCTGCAGTTGGACAGCAAGCAGCGACCATGGTGATGGCAATCCACATACAGGCGTGCGTGCGTGCGTGTGCGTGCGCGTGAGCACTTACAACAGTTTGCATGGTGCGTCCAAACGTGTGCTTGCGCGAGCCGGCACAATCTACCACACGACACACCACCGACATCGTATTGACTCTTTTGAAACACGTACTCGAGCAGCTTGAGGGCGGTGTTGGAGCGCAGCATGTCGGCCAGCGCCAGGGCACCGGCAGCACCGACCGAGTTGTTCTCCAACCTGCACCCGCCCACAGGCAAGATCACATGCGCAAAGCAAATGCTGGTCACCTCGTAGCACATCAAAGACAGGGAGGGACAGAGACAAACAGACAAACAGGCAGGCAGGCAGGCAGGCAGGCAGGCAGGCAGGCAGACAGATGGAGAGAGACAGACACACACACACACACACACACACACACACACACACACACACACACACACACACACAGAGGCTGGCTGACTGACACACCTAACACGCATTTACGCACGGCCACATCCAAAAGCACATTCACACATACACGAGAGCCTCGAGTGGTGACGTTCGGAGGGCGTCCGCAAGCATGGCGACACCTTGACCTGTCAGGTTGTTCTGCTTCAGGCTGGATGGACGAACATGTGAATGGCTCATGAGCTACAGATTGGTGTACACATGGACACGGAGAGAAAGGGAGACACACACACAGGCACAAGAACACACACACACACACACACACACACACACACACACACACACACACACACACACACACACACACACACACACAAAAGCGTACTTGACGGATTGAAGAGTGTGGTTGCTGGAGAGCATTCGGACCAAATCGCCTGCAGCGTCATCTGAGATGCGATTCCCCCACAGCCTGCACCACATCCATGGGATGGGTTACAAGAGAGCATGTGTGCAGATAAGCAGGACTCATGTGGCCAATCACACACACACACACACACACGCACACACACACACACACACACACACACACACACACACACCTCACACAGGCACACACACACACACACACACACACACACACACACACACACACACACACACACACACACAGTACCCGAGTTTCTGGACGGTCTTGTTTGTCTGCAGAACCTTTGCAATCGCCTTGACCCCTTGATCGCCGATGGAGCTCATGCTCATGCTGATATCACACACAAGTCCGAGAAGCGGCAACATGTCAAGGGGTGAGGCAACACACTCATATGTGCGTATGCAGCCAGATGGATTGGTTCCAGCAGGGTGGCGCTGTCTGGCACACGGAGAGGCTGAACGACAGCCAGCAAAAGCCAGTGGCGTGTGCACTTGTGTCTGTGAGTGTGCTGCACACGTACTAGAGCTTGGTGACGGATGCGTTGGCCTTCATGGCCTCGGCCACGCACTTTGCGCCATGGACCCCGAGGCGGAGGCCAATGAAACTGTAAACCGATCAAGCAGGCAAGAGGGCAAGCAAAGCAGGCGTGCAGCAGTGGCAGCACAGTTGTCAGTGGCAGCACAGTTGTCGGCGGTGACATCACACTTTCAAGTCTGAGCAGCAAGCAGCAAGCAGCAAGCAGATCGGCGAGGATGCGGCTCAACGCAAAAGTCGCTCGTTCAATCGATCCAAGCTCACATTGCATCACACCCCTTTCCCCCCCCCTCTCTCTCTCTTCCTTGGCACTTGATGCTCTCATCCAATATCCAACTCATTCGCAGCTCACTCTGCCGTGTCGCCGCATGTGTTGTCTGCGATGGACAGGATCTTGTTCTTCACCACATCTGTGAGCTTCCCCTTGTCAAGTAAGGCCCTGAGATCCTTCTTGAACAGCGAGTCAGAGGTTGACACGGCATTGGTGGTGCTTGTCATGGTGGCCGGCGTAGTTGAGAGATGGATCGATTGCTTCAACGTTGTCATTCATGTCATGCGACGACCAGTGAGGACGTGGGTACAATTTGTTTGCTTGTTGCCAAGAAGCGGGAATGGATTTGCGCTCTTTTTGTCCTTGACTCCACTTCACACATAAGTTGATTTGGTGGTCAGAGCCACAGTTTACTCTTGAGTCACACCAAGGCAATACAGTTGCCTGGCAAGCAAGAAGTACACAAAGGCACTGGTGATGAGAAGAAAGGCAAGTAGACGGGCGGAGCACTGCGATCGAAGCGAGTCCACACTCAACAAGCAGAAACGTCGAGGGGCGTCAACTCCAGGTCGCTTGCTCATACAGTACAAGAGAAACAACCCGCCACTTCACACAGTCAAATATCACAGTTCATCATCAAAGAGAGAAGAAAAAAGAGGGGAAGATCAAAGGCAGTCAGAACAGGGGAGAAAAGGGGGAAGGTTCAAGTACATTACAAGGGAGCAGCAAAAGGCATGACGGCAGATGCGACATGGAGATGCTTAGTACTCCTGGCTCTGGGAAGCGGCCTTCTTGCCACCCTTGCCCTTGGGGATGAGGTTGCTGTGGATGTGGGGGAGGACACCACCCTGGGCGATGGTGACGCCGGAGAGGAGCTTGCTGAGCTCGTCATCGTTGCGGACGGCGAGCTGGATGTGGCGGGGGTTGATGCGGTGCTTGTTGTTGTCACGGGCAGCGTTGCCGGCGAGCTCGAGAATCTCAGCGGCGAGGTACTCCATGATGGCGGCGAGGTACACGGGGGCGCCGGCACCGATGCGCTGGGCGTAGTTGCCCTGGCGGAGATGGCGGTGGATACGGCCAACGGGGAACTGCAGACCGGCGCGGGAGGAGCGGGTCTTGCTCTTGCCAGTGGAGGCCTTGCCAGACTTGCCACGACCAGACATGGTTGCTTGTAGCTGTTGGGGGGGTTGGAAGAAGGAGGGTGAAGCGGCGACTGAGGGTCCGGAGACTTGATTGGATAGCAGCAGATGAAAATGAACCGAAAAGGCAGGCACACTCCACAATCACCCCGACCATCCGTCGAAGAGGTGGTGCTTGGTGCTTGGTGCTTGGTGCAACGGCGCCAGTGCTTGGTTTGTGTGGCTTTCGCACAGGCGCGGGAGTTGTCCCTTTAATGAAAGAAAGAAAGGGCGAATTTTCGTAGACGGTGTCTTTTTGGACGTTGGCGCGAAACAAAACAAATTCTCTATTTGCCCGCCAAACATGTTGGTGAATGGTCCTAGTCAATTTTCTTTCGTGTCCGCGCTGCGCACACAGCACAGCACAGCACACAGCAGCGGATACAAGCGCGACAGTTGAAGCAGAGACATTCATTTTCTCAACTGCAATCAACCAAGCACTCCAAGCAAGCCAGCAAGACTCCTCCTCTTCTTCCAACCAACCAACACCAACTTCAAATCATGTCTGGACGTGGCAAGGGCGGCAAGGGCCTCGGAAAGGGTGGTGCCAAGCGCCATCGCAAGATCCTCCGCGACAACATCCAGGGTGTGACCAAGCCCGCCATCCGCCGTCTCGCTCGCCGTGGTGGTGTCAAGCGCATCTCCGGCCTCATCTACGAGGAGACCCGCTCTGTGCTCAAGACCTTCCTCGAGAACGTCATCCGTGACGCCGTCACCTACACCGAGCACGCTCGCCGCAAGACCGTCACCGCCCTCGACGTTGTCTACGCTCTCAAGCGCCAGGGCCGCACCCTCTACGGCTTCGGCGGCTAAGCGAGCCAACCCTTTGTTCCCACGACTTGCCTCATATGTGGTCTTCCCCTGTCTCCCTCCCCTCTATCTCTCTCTTTTATCGATCCCTTCCCTCGCCCCTCTCTTTGCTCCTCGTGTACATACTCGACACCGCCGCAGGTTGCGTGTGTGTGCCTTGTGTCCGTTCTCGCTGTACGGTTGAACGGAAGAGCTCTGGTTTTGCTGTGGTGGCTCTTTGGGCTTGTCCGGCCTTGTTTCCTTCGCTGGCTGTGCGTCGCCTCCTTTGTCCTCTGTGCTGATGGCACGCCTCGAGTAAACTTGGCTCTTCTCAAAAGCCACAAACCAACAACTTGAATCATGTGCCAATGGTGTGGGGCGTTGTAACTGAAGTGGTTGCTTGTGGAGTGTGAGCTCAAAGTACTTGAAGCTGCAAATGAGAAGAAAAGGCATGCGGATCACCTAGCAGCAAGTGTGTATCATCTGACGTGGTTTGCTAAGTGAGAATTGTCATCACATCAACTAACACTGGCTGCCCTGACTTCACGGCGATCGTGTACGCGTGTATTTTTCCATTTGAAAAGACAACCATGTCTTGTTCGACGGCACAAAACAACAATGAGAGTGAACGATGTGTGTTTGGCGGGTTACGGACAACAAACATCAAGGGTGTGGCGACTCAGCATACAGCGAAGTTGCGACACCGGCGTGCAAAACGCGCAAGAGGTGCGACAGCTGCAACATGTGCGGGCGGTGGGTTGTGGCGGGTTTACATGTTCTTGACAAGGGCCTCGCCAAACTCGGAGCACTTGAGGAGCGTCTTGTCGCCGTCCATGAGGCGGTGGAAGTCGTACGTGACTGTCTTGTTGGCGATGGTAGTGTCCATCGACTTGAGGATCAGGTCTGCTGCCTCCTTCCAGCCGAGGTGACGCAGCATCATCTCACCAGACAGAATCACAGAGCCCGGGTTGACCTTGTCCAGGTTGGCGTACTTGGGCGCAGTGCCGTGCGTGGCCTGGAAGGTGTGTGCGTGTGCGTGTGTGTGCGTGAGTCGTCACCTCAACTGAATATCACAGCACAGATCGCTGGCGCAACTGCAACGAAACAATGAACCCCGCACACGCAAGGCAAACACACAAAGCCACACACACACACACACACACACACACACACACACACACACACACACACACACACACACACACACACACACACACACACACACACAAACAAACAAACAAACAAATAAACCAACGCCCGGGCGCACCTCGAAGATGGCGTGACCGGTCTTGTAGTTGATGTTGCCGCCGGGGGCAATGCCAATACCGCCAACTTGGGCAGCGAGCGCATCGGAGAGGTAGTCGCCGTTCAGGTTCATCGTCGCAATCACGTCAAAGTCCTTGGCGCGCGTCAGCACCTGCAAGTGGTGTGTGTGTGTGTGTGAATGTGTGTGATGTGTGTGAATGTGTGTGTATGTGTATGTGTGTGTGCGTGCGTTGAGACCTAGCCGAACGGTGCACATGTGCACAAACAAAGCAAACGCCATCCGTGCGTTCACACCTGCTGGAGAGAGATGTCGGCGATTGCGTCGCGGACGAGGAGCTTGGACTTCCATGCGCCGTTGCCGTGGGTCGGCAGGATGGCCTCAAGCACACCGCTCACCTCAGCCTGCGCAATGCCGCGTCAGGAAATGGTGTGCGTGTGTGTGTTGTGTGTGTGTGTGTGTGTGTGTGTGTGTGTGTGTGTGTGTCATCCCGAAAGGGACACAAATCCAAACACGCACTCACACAAGCGCAATGGCTACTTCACAACATTCACTGTGTGTCATATGATCACATACGCACACACAACCATCCAAACAACGCACACACAACCATACAAACAACGCACACACACACACCTACACACCTGGAGGGTCTGCTGCTGGGTGTCGGTCATCATGTCATAGCCAGGCTCAATGGCCTTGCAGTTCTCCACCACGTCCGTCACGCCCTGCTCGTAGTTGTCCAGGATCCAGCTCTCGCGCTCAGTCACCTGCAGCCGCCACATGTGTTCGCAGAGCAGAGCGGTGAGGGTCCATCAACGAAACACAAGGCACTGACTGCGAGCCAGTTAAAGCACACACACACGCACATATGTGCGGATGCATGCATGCAAGCAATGCAGATACGAACCAAAACCAGCAAACAAACAGAGCAACACACATACACGCACACACACACACGCACGCACACGCACACACACACACACACACACACACACACACACACACACACACACACACACACACACACACACACACACACACACACACAAACAAACAAACGAGCAAGCAAACAAGCAGGCAAGCAGGAGGGCGCACCACTTGGTCGCGGAACTTTGTGACGGCGACGTCGTAGCCCCACTGCTTGAATGCGCCCTCCGTGAACTTCATGATGTTGCCCTTGTGCACCAGCGCCACGCTCCGGCGGCCGTTGTCAAGCGCATACTCAATCGCAGCCTGCAACAGGGGGGAGGGGGCGGATGGGGGTGTATTCGTCATGATGTGTGATAGAATGCGAGTCAGTCAACGCAATGTGTGTGTGTGTGTGTGTGTGAAAGGGGAAGGCGGGGACTATGCGTGAATGCACGCTTGTCGCAACACAAACAACCAGAACAAAAACAGAAAGAGGCATGTCTTCACCAACGATCATCGCACCTCAACAAGGCGGGACGTGCCCTCCTGGGAGACAGGCTTGATGCCAAGGCCAGACGTCTCGGGAAAGCGAATCTACGCAAACAGACGCACACAGATGTATGCATGCACAAGGTGAGCAGAGGAGAGGTGCTGCAAGCGTGTTCAGTGTGTTCAGTGTGTTCAGTGTGTTGCCACCTACCAAACAAACGACACACAACCCCAGCCGCCAAACACGCCAGGAAGCGGGCACGACCCCCACCTTGTTACCGACGCCCTTCTCGTTGAGGAAGGCAACGAGGTCCTTTGCGTCCTGGGTGCCGCTCTGGAACTCAATGCCGGCATAAATGTCCTCCGTGTTCTCGCGGAAGATGACCATGTTCACGTCTTCGGGCTTGCGCACAGGCGTGGGCACGCCTGCACCCCACGAAAAATGAGTGTGTGTGTGTTTGAGTGTGCGAGTGTGTGAGTGTGTGAGTGTGCGAGTGTGTGAGTGTGTGTGTTTTTGTGCGTTTGCAAGTCAGTGCGTCGAAGAGAGAGAGTGTGTGTGTGAAAGACGCGCAGGAGCCAACGAGAAGCACACACACACACACATACACACACACGCACGCACGCACGCACGCACTAACACGTTGAAAAGTGCAGGGCACGTGCTGGCCCGCGGTTTCATGACGCACCTGTGAAGTAGACGACGGGGCGGAGGCAGACGTACAGGTCGAGCTCCTGGCGAAGGGCGACGTTCAGGGAGCGCATGCCACCGCCAATGGGGGTGGTCAGAGGCCCCTGGTGCAAAGTAAAGTTGGTGTTGTTGGGGCAACGGGAGGTGGCATGGCGTGAGGAACGAACGGGGTCGTGATGTACAAGCTGGCAGGCAATGTGCATGCGCAACAAACACACACGTACAAACATACCCAAATCACGCAAACACGCACAAACACAAATGAACACACACACACACAAACAAATGAACATACACACACACACCTTAATACCGACGAGG